ACGGAAAAAATGATATTTCGGAAAGTTTATCAAAGATTTCAAAAACTCATATTGAAACTAAAAGTTATATGCTGTCATTTCAAATTCTTTGAGAATTTAGTCTAATGAGGTATCTGTCGCTAAAAACTGACTGTTGCCAATAGAACGAAGTGAAGGCAAGATCAATAATAAAAGTATAAATTTTTTTTGTGCGACATAAGAGTTTAATTTTTTTAACATTTGATTTAGGTTATTTAGACTAGGAGTATTTTTTTCTCATATGAGCTTTTTAGTAATCAGTTATGAGTGTCTCAACTGTTCCAGAATATCCTCAAGTTTTTCCGCTTGAAAAGCAGCATTTTGTTGTGATAACTCAAATAATGCAAAAATGAATGAATCGATAAGCTGTTGAGGATTTTTTTTTACTAAGAACTGTGTTCAGTCAGAGGGCGAGAAAAAAAACATTGTGACGAATTGCTACTGGTATATATTGACTTGTGAGATGTTGTTGATTTTTCGTAGGCATGAAAAAAATGACCGAAAGATGTTGGTGCTTGCCGTTCGACCGAACAACAGTTTCAAGGATATATTCAAAAATGAAAGTAACAAAAAATTGATAGAAACGTAACTCGTGTGGTACACTTATACCAATTTATTCAAGTTCCTCAAAAACTGAAAAATTTGGACGGTGTTTTCTACCTGGGTGAACATGCCTTGTCTCATTATCACACTTTTTTTAATGGTTGTCAAGGTTTTGAGCACATTGTAAGAAAAATCACAATTAGAACGGATTTTCCAAGAACAACACGTTCAAGATTCTATTTAGACAAATATAATCACCAACTGCAAAAAAATTAACTCTGGTTGTTATTTTCACTCGGGCTGCGACAAATTAGGTCTCCAGATTTAAAAAAAACGACATCAATGTCATGTTCAAAGGCGTGGAGGAAATTTGAACATTCAAAAATTCGCTCTATTTTTCAAAAATGTTTATAGGTTACTCTTTCAAAAACTTCCACGTTTTCCATGTTTCTGAACAGTACAAGTCAAAAATTCGACTAATCGTTAAACTAGATGTTTCCTTCGGTCCAATCAGCCAGTGATCTAAAAACGCAAAAATTGTCAAAATGAGGAGCTCCATCATGCTTCTTTTAAGTGTCTACGCTGCTGGACTGTGTGTAAAAAAGAACGGAATGCTATCTTCTTCATTTGCTCCCATTGGTATATCGAGAATGTGAGTAACCAGGACAGTTATATTAGTTAGACAGAAAAAAATCCACTTGTTACTATCTCTCCAGTTAGCTAATTCTTTTTATAATACCTGTGTCTAATATATCGCGTTTAAAAGATTCAAATTCGCTGTAATTTTCAATAACTTTGGATTTTGGTAGTACTGCCGTGTTTTGGTAGTATGGCCTTGTTTTATAATACCTGTATCCAATATATTGCGTTTAAGAGATTAAAAATTGCTTATATTCTCAAAAACTTTGGGTTTTGGTAGTATTGCCGTGTTTTCCCTAGAGTATTAGTACCGGTAAACATTATTTTCCGTGCTTTGAAGCAGAAAACGATAAACTACCTCAATTTTTGAGACCTGAGTCAATTTCTAAAATATGGTTTTGATGCAGTTCTCTAATTCGTCATATCCATTTTGTTTCAAAACTGAAATTCAAGATAGTATGATAGGGCTTTTGAACAACATAATCTCCAATTATGTGGGATTTCGATCGCGCATTTTTCCCTACTGACTCTTTTTCTCCAAAAAGAGTTCTCCGATAATTGGAGATTTTTGGACACGCTCAGTTTTAGAGTCAACGATTTATCCACGAGGGGTAGTACCACCATACGAGCTAAATAGCTCATCCCGGATAACAGCTGTCGTGCCTCTGCTTGAGAACTAATTGCAATTTTTTGGTTGTTGTTTCTGGGCTGGGTAAATGTTGCCTTACCCTCAAGCAACGACCATTTCAGTTTCATTTTCGTATGACGTTTTTAGAAACTGGACATAACTCGCATTTAAAATCGTCGTTGTCGCGGGAATTTTTCTGACGACTAAATTTAACTGTGATTTGAACTATCTGAGACAAAACCAACATTTTGAGTTTTTTTCACGTGTTTTTTACGTGAAGTTTTAGCTTGTAAACAGTTGGAAACGATTTATTACAAGTCAAAGACTTTCAATGTATGCCTTATTTCATGCTGGTTCAATTTCTCTTTTTGGAATAATTTTATAATACTGTGCAGATTCGAAAGGCACACTTCT